CCGTCATCCACTTCATCTGCTTCATTTTCAACATTCTTGTCCTCTGCCCTTGCTTCCAGCTCGTCTAATTGCCTCTGCTCGGACTTTCAGGTTGAACCGATTGTCACTGCTGATTTCCCATCTTCATCCTGTTCCCGGCCGACGTCCCCTCTGCTTGAGGCTTCTACAGACATATCCTTTATTAATCATGTCCCACCAAGTCCCCAAACTTTATCGTTAAATAGGATTCAATGTTTTTCGGATGGATCAAAGCCCATTGAGAAAATTGATTTATTGGCCTTAATTTCCGACGGATCGGTTGATCCTGTAACAATAGCTTCTGCACCAAAAGCAGTAAAAGCAGCAGCAACAGCAACTACTTCCATTACTTTTTCTGATGCTGGTATCGCAACTTCATCTATTTACTGCCAGTCTTCTGTTGCAAATACAATTGATGCTAGTCACAGATCTAGCAAACTTCCCCCCGAGTTGCTTGTATGTGAAAAATCTTCCTCAACTTCACTTTTAGCCCCGAACTGGCTTCCGCTACAATTACCCTTTGAGAAGAGTCTCTATGAGGACATTTATAGAGCTTCTTTGGTCTCCGCTCAAGCCTTTGCTTGCCCATCTCAGTCTGCTTTATCTCAGGACCAGGCCGGAAAAACGCCTACTTTGCATAGTTCATCTCTGCCCTCCCTTCCACATAATTCACAAGTTCCTCTACCTCAAATCTTGCCGTCTAACTTTGGCCAGGAAGGTTGGTTATGCTTTTTTTATTTTTTATAGTTTAACTTTTGTTTTATGTTTTTTTTTTGTTTTTATTTCTAGTTAGTTGCACATGTGGCTATTCTCAAATGAGTTGTTTTACATGGTTATCAGGCTGATTCACTAGCTTTATTATTGAATATGCTTGACCCATTAATGAGTAATCAATTTTCCTTAGTGATATATTTCAACCTGACTTTCCATTTTGAAGGAGAAATTGGTTGGAAGGAATTCGTGAGACGGTCTTAGCAGAAACTGAAAGAAGTTTGTTGCGTATTTAAGACTGTTGTATTAAGCGAAGAAGTCCTCGGTTCACTGTACTGCGACTCTGATGAACCTATGCTAAACTTTAATCTATACTGTAACAGGCAGGCAAAGTTTAAGCCCTTTGATAGGACCTCTTTAGTATAAATGTTCAATGAGGCTTTGGATAGATTAACCACTTTTTTTTTAAACCTAATTGGAAATTTCTACTGAGGAGGGTTCATCAAAAGGCTTAAACTTTCCTTTTCCAAATGCTACGGCCTTCAAGAAGAAAATTGTAATAGAATTGATGAGTTTGACACATAGTTTCTCATCGGATAGTAGGAATGTCATTGGATTACAAGTTGTCCATTGATGGTCATGTAGAAGCACCATATAAGATTAGGACAGTTACTAAAATTATAAGTACGGTTAAGGCAAATGATCAATTAGTAATGGGGAGAGGCAAAGGAGAAGCAGTGCTACTTATGTATAGGACGGTTATGTAGAAAAAATATTGCCGGTATTAGACCTCTAGGTCAGATTTTAGGTTTTTATGCAACAATCTTTTAACAGTGGAGAACTGGAAGAGTGTATAAGTACTTCTCTATCACTATTTATACGTACTCAGTTAAAGCAAGTCTCCAAAACTTGGAAGCTTTCGATAAGGAACTCTTATGACTTTATAAAGTTACTTGATGATCAGACGATAGAAAGATGCGATTTACTGGTAAGTCTCGATATTGTGTCTATGTACACTAATATTCCC